TCCATTCGCCTGGCGCCCAGTTTCTTCGTACTCGGTCTGGTACCTTTTTCTGTTAGATCCCCCAATTTTGTCACACAGGGCTACCGCTACACGGCATGAAAAAATATCCCGAGGCGCCCAGTCTAAATGTCACACGTAAAACAAAGCTCTTCCATTGTGAGGTTGCGCGAGCCTTCTTGGCAGGCGTGGCAGGTGCATTCTTGGCAGGCTTGGCAGACACGGCAGGTACGGCGTACAGGGTTCTAGGTTGTCTATATTTCACCACGTTCTTTTTTGTGTTCGAGCTGCCCTGGATTTTAGAAAACTTGTTTGCCGCTGGGCCGCCTGTGGCACATATTTGTTTCCAAGAATAACAACAGTGGGACATCATTATTTCGTTTTACACTCCGGGTGCCTCATCACTTACTTCTTCGGCGAGGCGGTCATCATGTGTGCCAGCTGTCAGTGCAAGACTCGCCGCAAAGTAGTGACGGTTACGTGTCGGTTCGGAGTTGGTCTATTGGGCTATTCGTCTGTGTCCTAGGATCTGTGTGTTGAGTGACGAGCCGCGTGGCTCGCACTCCTGTTTCTCTCTGATACTCTTGAACTCCTGATTACATACCCTCGCGGGTGCGTGACAACCGATAATACACGAACTATAAAAGAAGCCATTCGACAACCAGTGGGTGAGTCGACGCTAACCGGCGCGGTTGCATGAACACCAGCGCTCCCGAGGGTGAAGAAAAAAAGTTGCCTCCGAGAAGCGCCCGTGTCCTCTGAACAGGCAAAATACCGAGGTTTTTCCCTAACTTAAAGCAGGTAGTGTTGAGGGATATACTACGAAGGGCAGGGATGGTCGACGCCAAGTTTAACATGAGAGAAATGGTGTGAGTGCGCGCTTTCGGACCTCTTGTGCCACGTGTGTCCGAAATGTTGTGAGATCGGGGGCACTATGAAGACAAACCTCGTACCATATATCTTTCTCCATACACGGCTCCCCCTTCCGATTAAAAGCACCCAACAGCATTCCGTGCGAGAGCTCAACAAGGTGCACATACACCGAGGCGAAACCCACCGTGACAGAAGAGCTACACAAGGCTCAACGAGGCGCACATACACCGAGGCGAAACCCACCATGGCAGAGGAGCTACACAAGGAGGCCGGTAGCGTGGAAGCAACAAGAACCGTCAGGGTCCAGCTGCACCCGTAGTACTGCCAAGGTTAGTCTTCTATTTCAGGCGCATTTGTAGATGAGTCTCACCAAGTCTGCGGGGCAGACTCGTACGTGTGGCGATGAAGTGACACTTTGTATTGACACCCCCGAATAAAACCATTCCATACACGTGGTCCCCTGTGCCAAATCTCAACCAAAAACTTTTGCGTGGCAATAGCGCGCCACAACAACACATTCACACACTCAACCATGCTTTCTACTGCTCGCGCCTCCAAGCGCATGAAAATGGCCTCTGTTTCAAAGGAGAAGAAACCCATCACCAGTCTCCACAAGCAAGGATTCGACGCATCGGACGTCACGGTGCCCAAAACGCATGCGAAAATGTCATTCAAATCTCCAGTGACAATCGAAACGGTGTTCAACGCGCCCAGTGATGCACTGGTGCGACAATTTTACAGTTCGAGGTGCAGCAACGGGACGACGACGCCGTTCGACCACTTACCCGAGCACGAGAGGCTGGCGTGGACGACATCGCTTCACGACACGACTGCACTGATGGGATATCTCGTGTACGCCCAACTCTTCCCTTCTCAACTCCAAAACCGCATCAAATTGAACACCGCGAGCTACCATTACAACGCGCTCGACGGCACAAGCGATCGGGGCCAAATCAAGCTGCGACAGCGACGAGAAGCCCTCGAGAGACTCAAGAAGGTCAGCTCAACTACTTCGGTGTTCCATGGCCTCCCATACAGCGTGGACAAAACGAAAAACATACTGCAATTCATGAAAATGGATTTCGACGAGGACGACGAGAGGCAGCGGTTCTTCCTGCAACGGGAATTCTCTGTTATCTACGGGGAGAGAGGAGAGGCTAGTTCCTCGAGCGTCTACTCGTCGTGCTCTGCGGTGTTATCACTCTTGTATTTTTGTACGGTGGTTTTGGGTCGCCCTTGCAGTCTGGAGGCGGTCATTCTCCCGATCTCCGTAATGGAACGGCGCAGTCTAGAGACGTGTGGCTGCCCCCCTTCGCTACTCGACGGACCCATCAAACGATTCGAGACCAGTTGGATCGATGTCTTCTCTGCGATAGGCACGTCCCACAGAACGATGGATTATGTGACGCTAGAGAGGGCTTCGAGCGACAAGTACGTCGAAGGGCTGCACGTCGCTGATGCGTTCGCTGTTTTTCGTGCCACAAAATCAGCCCCACGAGACACGAAGAGCATCGCGACTCTCGTCGAGAACTATCGACGACACGCAAAGAAAGGGTTTGAGACGGGTGCCGTTGTCGCGTGCTGCGACGTTCTGCGAGAGAAGCCCGCGCAGGCCATTGGTCGCATCGATGGGGCAGTCATAGGAGCCATATCTTCGACCTACGGACAGAAAGTGAGCCAAGAGGTGCGGGCCAGGTGTCTCGGTCTGCAAGACGGCGCTCACTCTCTTTTCGATGCTTCAGTAAGCAACAAACTGCACGAGATTGTAGCGTATTTCGACTCCCAACTTCACAAGGCAAGGAAGAAGCACAAAATGGAGCTTACTGTGAACTCCAACCTCGACCCCGCCGGCCTCAACTCCAAAGTAAGCGGAGGGAAAATGCTGGACCCAACCGATCCCAAGTCGGTGGAGCTTATGTACGTAATGCTCAGGGGTCTTTCGAAGCAAGTGTGGCGCCCGCTCAAGACCATGATCGAGGAGGCTCTGGGCGCAAGCATGGCGTACCCGGGAGCGTTTCTTGCGAGTTCAAGTGAAAAGACAGACCGACTGTACGAGCACGCGCGAGAGGCGGGCGTCACCTACACCGACGTGGCCAATCTCTACACGCTACTACTGCTGAGCTTTGCGTTTCAACGCTCCCAGGTGCTGCGGGATTCGACCGTCCACGAGTTCACCCTAGTTCCAGGCGGCACACACTACAAGCTATCTTTCAAGGGACGGGCATTTAAATCATCTGCGGCATCGGCATCGGGAGGGTCGCTGCCCGTAAGTCACTTCAATCTCTCCCCTGATCAATCAATGATCATCAAATTCCTAGCGAGCGTGGGGCACCGTTTCTGCAACAACGTAAGTATGCACGACGAAAAAAGGAGGTTGTTTCTCAATGCCAAAGGCGAGGGATGGACCCAGGGTGACATCGGTTCGCGTTTCAAAAAGATTGGGGCGCACTGGCTAGGAATCGCCAATTTCTCCCCCCATGTGTGCCGTTCGTTTTGGGCAAGCCATGCTCTCAGCTCGGGGCAAGTGAGCGCCGAAAACGTCGACGATTTCAGTAGTTTCCTCCAGGTATCGAGTGCCACGCTGCGAAACAGCTACATGGGTTCCGGAGCGCATTCGGCGGCCCACAAAATCGGATCTTCTGTTTTGGGCGGTGTGGTCAACTCTGCCTGCACGGGAGAACTAACAGAAAAAGGTACCAGACCGAGTACGAAGAAACTGGGCGCCAGGCGAATGGAGTTTGTTGCTCAGATCCGAGCCTCCGTGCTCAAGCATGGTGGCAAGAGTAAAATCAGGCTGCTGTTTCGTGATCTAGTAAGCAAGAGGAAAGCGTCGGAGCTCGGAGAGGGGGAGAGGTGGTTTATGTGGGATAGGACGTATTTCGATGACGACGGAGAGAAATTCTTCAAGCGCTTCGTAGATGCGCACGTGACAGGGGTGTAATGTGGTCACGAGAGAGCAATAGTGTCGATATGCAAGCGTGCCGATTTCAGGGCTTGAAACACATTTTATACGGCGTACAGCAGTACAGGCAACGGCGCCACTGCTGTAAAACTTCAAACTGGCTTTAAAATTCGAAATGGCCTCCGATTCGACTCGTTTTTTTTTTCGAAAATTCGACGCGACACATGTGTCAAATTTGAGCTCCATCGGACTATTTTCCGGTTCTCCGGGGGCCGTAAATGTGTACACTTGAGCCCGCCTACAGGAGTCAAATCTTCGAGGAAAAATCTGATTCTTGGCTAGATGATGGAGATGAGTTAGAAACACGGGGTCATATTTTTTCAGCCCGAAGAAACATTTTGGCGCCAAAACACGGGCCAAGCGTCAACGCGAAAAAAAATCATGGGGCGAGCGCTGCAGCGAAGGGCGCAGATGTGTACTGCTGTAAGCACAAGAGCAGGCCCCCAGCGCCGCCACATGCTTCAATTTCAATTTCGTTTTTTTGTCAAGTGCGCCTAGGCCACGGGCCCCATCGTGCAAAATCTGAGGGTCCAGAACGCAAAGGGTGACAAGAAAAGTACACTATTTGGCCAGAGTACTGCTGTAAATCGTATTTTCGTCTTCAAAAATCAAGATCTTCACGGATTGATCTCTACTCGGGTATGTTGTTCCGCTAGGTGAGGCGCACACCTGAGTATTTTTTTTGGTCGATCACCGGTACTCTGGGACCGAGATATGCGAGGAAATGTGTGCAAGCAGCGGGCGGTGCTCTAATTTCAAGTGATTTTTGTACTTTTAAGACCCCTCACCCCCAAGATATATTATTTTACTGGAGGGGGTGGGTCTCTAGGCCAAAAAAATGTTTTGGGGAGGGGGAGGGGTGAAAAAACGGGCAGCGGGCAATTCAATTCCCCGTTTTTCCCGAGGGGGGTGTTATTTTGCGTATATGTGGCAGGCGCGTCAGCGTACGCGGTGACCGCGACATCACAGAGACGCTCCAAAAAACAATAAACAAGCATGCAGGAAGTTGCTAGCACATCATAGGAGTCGAGAGCCGTCGATTCCGTGCGCTGTGGTGTTGCGTGGGGCTGGCGTGGTCTCCCAACGCGTTCTCACATGCGCGCCAGCTCCGGCGGCGGCCGCCTACATCCCCTCACTCGTGTACGCGAACAGAGACACGAAAACTCACCTTCTTCTCACAGGGATGCTCTGTGATGCTCCTGTAATTTCTCCTCCCTCGCACCTCCCTCACTCTCCACTTTACCCACCATATCTCATCGGATCCGACAAATCCACAGTGCTGCACATCACGCTGCACATCAGCGCTGCACACTCAGGCAAAACTTTGATCCTTTGATGTCGTATTGCCGTCACCGTCGTTGTCGTGCCCGCTCTCATCTTACCGGTAATGTTTTTTGCCACACGAGACTGTAGGAATGGACCAATGATACGCTTTCCAAAAATGATGTGGGTACCACCAAATTTCTCCTCCCTCGCACCTCCCTCACTCTCTCACTCTCCACTTTACCCACCCTCATCTCATCGAATCCGACAAACCCACAGTGCTGCACATTAGCGCTGCACATCGGCGCTGCACACTCAGGCAAGACTTGATCTCTTGTTGCCGTCACTGTCGCTGTCGCTGTCGTGGCCGCCTATGCTGTTGCTGTTTGATTTTACCGTTTGCCGCTGTTGCTGGATCTGCTGCCGTGTCTCGTGCGACTTCCTTTGCTGTCTGATACACTAAAATAGCTGAATCAAGGCCAATCTTTAGGTCGATCAAGTATAGTTGAGCTGCGTGCTAACGCGTGTGAGTGACGCAGAGTCGGATAATCTACATGTGACTGCGATTTGAAGGAAAGCTCGTCTCTGCCGCAGCGGCTTGTATCCCCGAACTTCGGTGAGACAACCCGCGCGGTGTGAGCGGGATCTTAGCCAGACTGGGCCAGCGTGTATTGCACAGACAATCCGCGCGATAACCCAAGGCATGACAAGGTCCTCGAAGCGATTTCATTCACAGTCTGTGTTCGATTTTCTTGTCTCTCTCATCAACCTCGCACGGTGGTGATTACTATCAAGTTAAGGATTTCTGGAAAAGTTGGTTAACCTTTCCACCCAAAAATGTTCTCGAAAAAATACGTTAGCTTTCACTTTTATGTGTTAACATCGGATCGCGTTGGTCGCCTCAGTTGCTCATAATTCACCTTCACCATGACAAGAAAACCGACATCACAACATTGCTACATGGGGTCTTTGAAGCCAACACGCTACGAAAAAACGACGACGAGCCCTTCATTGTGCAACTGAGATTTCTACAAGCAACTTGCGAAAAAACAGTGAGATAATCGGAGGTACGTAGAACAAAGCCTAAAAGCTGGACCCTTGAGGAGGCAACTTAGTTGTTTCTATCTGTTCTTTCACTGCAACTTCGGGCACACTGTCTGAAGGGCAGAGTGGATGCATGTGAAACTACCTACGCCCGATCCTCCTTTACAGCAGCCTGGCATTACCACACTCTGCAGTCCAAAACAAGCCGACGTGGATCTTACAGAAATAGCCCGACGCGGGACTGTATGGGTGACGGGTAAAGATCAGCTTTGTATGGAAAGATTGAGGCAAGATTCTGGTTTCACTACCCTCGACTTCAACGTGGCCTCGAGACCACTCGGGCACACTGTCTGAAGGGCAGAGTGGATGCATGTGAAACCACATGCGCCCGATCCTCCTTTACAGCAGCCTGGCATTACCACACTCTCCAGAAATAGCAAGTTTGGTGAGGCAGATATAGCCGATGTAGACTACTGTTTATTGAAACGGTCGAATGTGCCAGAGGCGTTATTGTTCCTGTATTTCGGGGTATCAGGTTGAGAAGAGTCCTTTTGGGATGGTCACTTTATCGGAGAGTTCACGTGCAGGAGAAGGCTCGCTGGACAGCGTGGAATAGCAGATTTATACAACAGCAGTACGTGAACTCAGAGAGGGATAGCAAGGATTGGCCAGATTGGGAGGCCAAGAAGTTGCGTTCTTC